CGAAAGCCTCATCTTCCACGTCATCGAGCGAGAGGCACAACCGGCTTGGATGATGCGCGCACCTTTCCCACCACACGTCTTGGACCAACAGCGGCACTAGCAGCAGCAGGTTGAGGTTGAAGCCAAAGATCAAGGTAATTCCCTTCCTCTGTGTGTGTGTGTGTGTGTGTATGTGTGTGTGCGCGCGTGCGTGCGTGTGTCTACAATGACCATAGTCGTCGTTCTGGTCGTCTTTGACGAATTCGAATGTTTCTTTTTCTATAATCAGGGGGGCTTCGCCCCCCCGAACCCCCCCTGACCATGGGGCTTCGCCCCCTGGACCCCCGTACCTACTTGACCAGGGATACGCGTGGAAAGTGTGTTTGTGACTGTGTCATGATTTATGAAAAATGCAATTTTTATATATAATCTAGCGATAGTTCCGATTTTTTCAGCACCCTCATTTTTTACCACTTTAAGAGGAAGTCAGAACTTAGAAAAATTTTCAGAAAACAAAAATTCTAAACATTCCTAGACCTACCCTTTATTATGCAGCTCCACGAGAGGAACACAAAAGGTCCTCTTCGCCATACCTCTATCTCTCTTCGTTTCACTAATACAGGTCATTTTTGATTCTTGAAAACAAAAAATGAATTAGATCAGCTAAACGGTTGGAGATAGGGGCATGGTCAAGAGGACCTTTCTTCTTCCTCTCGACAAGTTCTATAAGGAAAAAATGAGACCCTGCCAAGATTCCCAAACATTTGAAAAAAAAAAATTTGAAAAAAAAAAATTTTTTTTTCAATACCGGGACCTAGCCTTCCTTATGCAGCTCGACGAGAGAAACAAGAAAGGTCCTCTTCGCCATGCTTCTATTTGCCTTTCTTTCACTAATAATCGCCATTTTTAAATTTAGAAAACTAAAAACGAATTAGAATAGTTAAACGGTTGAAGATAGGGGCATGGCGAAGAGGACCTTTTTTGTTCCTCTCGACGAGTTCTATAATGAAAAATTGCGACCTGTCCAAAATTGCAAAAAAATAAAATTAATTTATCAAAAACAAAATTTTTCTATTTCGGGACCTACCCTTCCTTATAGTACTCGACGAGAGGAATAAGAAAGGTCCTCTTCACCGAGTCTCTATCTCCAACCGTTTGGCCTAGGTAACTCGTTTTTCGTTTTTGAAACACATTGACGAGTGTTCCTGGCCAAATGGTTCAAGATTGAGGCTCGGTGAAGAGGACCATATTTATGCGACTCGACGAGAAGAACGAGAAAGGTCCTCTTCACCGAGTCTCTATCTCCAACCGTTTAGTCTGTGTAACTTGTTTTTGTGAATTACATAAGCATATTTTCTTGGTTTATCACAAATATGAAGCTCTTACGCATGGAAATACCGTAGAACGTAGTACGATCGGTTCCCACATACGATTCAATCCTTCCCGTTATTTATTTCGCTCCATGAAATGCACTCGAGTTACAATACTTAATACAAAGTTTGAAATTATTTATTTATTTTACAGGTACAACGCTGCCACGCTCAGTTATTGCTCATACGAACGTTACGCGTCGTTCGCAATAACATTGGCCACCAATTCAGCATTACATCGAAAAACTCAATTTTTCGATATTTCTTATTTGGACTCTATCTCCGCTATTATCAGTTCGATATGTGCCAAAGTTATACAATTAGTGTACTTCGATGATACGACGAGTAGAAAAGCATGATAAATCGATTGTGATTGATATTTCGATGGGTCATTTTTCTAGGCATGTGCCTGCAGATATGACTCATCGAAATATCTATTGCATTCGATGTACGATGCATCGCTACTCGCCGTCTCATCAAAATACACTATTTCTGTAAGTTTCGCATAGATCGGACTGATAATAGCAAAGATTTTGTCGAAATAAGAAATGTCGTAAAATTGAGTTTTTTAAAATTATGAAATATTAGTGCCAATTGCTAACTTGCCACCAATTGTGCATTATTAACATAAACTAAATTAGGCGACACATCTAATTTAGACTCTATCTCCCTTACGCAATCTGTGTGATGTCTGCCAAACTCATAGAAATAGTGTATTTCGATTAGGACGACAAGCGTAGAGATGCATCGTACATTGAATGTT